AAAAAAAAAAAAAGACTACTGAAGTCCTCTATCAATTTTCTATAAAGAGCAGTTCAAGCACTTCTAATATTCTATAAATACATTTTTAATTACTGTTATTTCTGCTAGTCAATTCTTTTCTTTTAAACTTTACCCAGGGTTAATCAGTCAGATCTTTGTACATATCAGATTTTGTTTCTATCACTGTGAGAATTTTTCTTTTTTTTTTTTCTTAAGTGTCCATGTGGCCATTATTTCTGCCAAATCAAGTTCTTTCAAGTCGTATTTTACAGATTTAAAATTCTGCTCAGAAATTTGATTTGGTTCTTAAATTTCTGGTTAAATACAATTTTTACTACTTGCAGTTTTAATTAGTTTTACTACGCACTGACAATTATTAGTTATGCTCATTATAAATTGGGATAAAATAATTATTTGTTTCTTAGCTGATCCACAGAGAAACCGATCTGCCCTAATAGTACAGCACTGCTTTAACTATTAAGAAGGTCTTCAAGATCAAATGGTCCTTTCCTGAAACTTTTTACATATACATTTTTTAAGATTTTTAGGTTAGTTCTCCTCCCTGTATAAATCAATCATTTAAATGTCCCATAAATAAAAATCAAAGAACGGAAAGCATTTGATGAGAAGATTTATAAACATTAAGTTATTAGTGTTAAAGGAAGAAAATTCTCAATTTGTAAAAATATGAGTAAGCATTAGTTCTATCTTAGGATGTTATTTTGTGAAAGAAAACCTTCGATTACTATTTTATTTCCTATTACACTACCTTATTTCTAACTTGGTCTTACCATAGGCACATAACTAGAGTGCCAAAAACACTGTTAGATCCTACACAGCTGGACAGTTTTATACTGTCTGATAAAGATCAAGATTTTATACCTTCAGCCCTTCTTCTGGCATATACTTAATAACAGCTATTTTTCAAGTGTATATGGAAAAACAAATCAAAATCTCCATTTCTGTCAATACCTACTTTAAGTATATGAATAACTCATCAATAAAATAGAGTAACTCATGCAAAAAGTATCCAGTGCCCAAAACAATAATACAATAAGTCCAAACAATAAAAGAAACAAAGACACATGAAGAGAAGCTTCTATATAAAAAATTTTCAATATTTAGGGAAAAAAACCCAATCCATTGCCTCAGAGTATTCAGGTGCTCAGTTTTGGGTTTGAAACAATTACCTGAGGCCTCTAATTCATTCTGACTGCATGACATGTCATCCAAACACAGGTCAATAAGAAGGATCTGTCCAACATCAGTCACCACTGCAGCCACACCAAAAAGCCATCGGAGGCTTGGGTGCAAATGCTGAGTGCTGGCACTGGCTCCTCCATGACTAATTATGGGTTCAATCGCGGTCACCTAGAAAGCAGAATACAGCATTTGTTTTTCTTATACAAAGTGAGAAAATACAATTAAAAAACACAATAAACAAATTTGGACGTTAAAGCGGGTTATTAGTTACCATGGATTTAAACATTTTCTATCAGAGAATTATAAATTTGCATTTGGTACTTGTGAATCTGAATAACATAATGAAATCTTCAGATAAAATAGAAATGACACCATTATTTCAATATATAACAAATCATGCCGCTGAAATAACTGATGTTTATTGAAAGCTTACTATACGCCAGGCCTTGTGCTAATTGGTTCATGTAATGTTCATGATAACCCTAGATATTGGATCATATATAATTCTACCTGTTCAAAGATGAAACCACCCTGAAACTTAGAAAGTTTAGCTGTGGTTATTCAAGTCACACAGACATTAAGTGTAAAACTCAAATCTAGATTTTTCTCTTCAAAGCTCTCAACCAGCTACTCCATGATTAGATAGCCTCTTTTCCTAAGGAAGAGTAAAAATAAATCATTCAAAAAAAATTTACTGTTTACTCTTTAAAATAAAAGTCTTGCTTATGCCTTAGCCTGAAGAGGTCTAACCTTCTTTAAAAGGGCCATATTACAATGGACTTCACACTAAGCTTCGGCAGTGACTGGATCACTGACATTTAACAAGAACTTAAATTATTTTTAAAAAATCATACTGTAGGGGTGCCTGGGTGGCTTAGTCGTTAAGCGTCTGCCTTCGGCTCAGGTCATGGTCCCAGGTCCTGGGATCGAGCCCCGCATCAGGCTCCCTGCTCTGCAGGAAGCCTGCTTCTCCCTCTCCCACTCCCCCTGCTTGTATTCCCTCTCTCACTCTGTCAAATATTTTTTTTAAAAAATTAAAATTGGGCGCCTGGGTGGCTCAGTTGGTTAAGCCACTGCCTTCAGCTCAGGTCATGATCCTGGAGTCCCGAGATCGAGTCCTGCATCGGGCTCCCTGCTCAGTGGGGAGCCTGCTTCGCCCTCTGACCCTCCCCCCTCTCATGCTCTCTCTATCTCATTCTCTCTCAAATAAATAAATAAAATCTTAAAAAAAAAAAATAAAAATAAAAATAAAAAATTAAAATTAAAAAAATATCATACTATAGCTACATTACAGTTATGTTTTTACCTCTTCCTCTCATGAGTCAAATTTTAAATGTCTGTACCTAAATAAATAGTCTGTATTTTATACTCAGCTTTCCTTCTGTTTCCTATTAATTCACAAGAATTAAGTATGATATATGATAATTAAGTATTTAGTGACTTCTACTATGATACTGATGAGTCCTAGAAAGGAGGAATGCATTTATGCATTAATACAAGTAAAGTTTGTTTCGGGCTGTAATCTATTATCACAGACTAAAGCCTGGCTCTGTCTATATTTCATTGGTACACAAAACATTCTACAGTGTTTCTAATTCTGAAAGCTGTAATTTCATGGACTGTCTTCCTTTTCTAAATTATGGCAATAATGTCTATAAGTACTAGAGCACCATCTCTTCAATTCCCTCAGATAGGAATTAAGAACTCTGTTTGCATTCCCCATACAAATACTCTGAATTAACTGATAATGGTACCTTAATTAGTAAGGCAGTTAAAAGCAAACAAATTTAACAGGGGATACTGTGCCCTAGCCAAAAAACAATTAGTTAACCAAACTTGTATGGAAGGTTATCTATCACTACTCTCTTCATCTTTCCCTTCTCCCTCTTCCATGGGATGCCAGCCATCCACACAACTGAGCAACCAGGAACTTATCTAGAACTCTTGTTCTGGGGCGCCTGGGTGGCTCACTCGTTAAGCGTCTGCCTTCGGCTCAGGTCATGATCCCAGGATCCTGGGACTGAGCCCCGCATCAGGCTCCCCGCTCGGCTGGAAGCCTGCTTCTCTCTCCCACTCCCCCTGCTTGTGTTCCCTCTCTCGCTGTGTCTCTCTGTGTCAAATAAGATCTTAAAACAAAACAAAACAAAACAGTCTGCCTTCAGCTCAGGTCATGACCTTGGGGTCCTGGGATGGAGCCCCAAGTTGGGCTCCATGCTCAGCCAGGGAGTCTGCTTCTCCTTCTCCCTCTGCCCCTCCCTCCTGCTCATGTGTGCACGTGTGTGCTCTCTCTCCCTCAAATAAATAAAAATCTTTACAAAATAAAAAACATAAGTCTTATTCCTTTTCATTTACTTTTTTTTTTTTTAAGATTTTATTTATTTATTTGAGAGAGAGAATGAGATAGAGAGAGCATGAGAGGGGGGAGGGTCAGAGGGAGAACCAGACTCCCTGCTGAGCAGGGAGCCCGATGCAGGACTCGATCCCGGGACTCCAGGATCATGACCTGAGCCGAAGGCAGTCGCTTAACCAACTGAGCCACCCAGGCGCCCCCTTTTCATTTACTCTTAACCAAATGATGAACAGGTCCTACCCATGTCACCTCCTGAGTATACTCTGAATCTGCCCCATCATCTCCGTTTCCAGAGTCATTTCCCTGGTTTGGCTCACCATCATTATCTTCCCGAACTACTCCAATCCAACGAGCTTTTTACACTATAGAGTTCTGCTTTAAACTTACAATGACTTCACCAGAGACTTCAGGCAGTGGCCACAAACTGCAAACAAGGCCATTTACTATCTGAACGCTGAGCACTTCTAGACCCCACCTCCGCCTTCCCCTCTCCCACAGCCATTCCAAATAAGGTCAGTTCCCAAATGTTCTAAATACTATGACTTTTTACATGCTGGTCTCTTTGCCTGAAACGTCCAACCTCTATGAATAGAAATTATCCACCTGTTTCGTTTCCATGTTCCATGTGCTTGAGTTTACCAAAATACTCATTATATTTATGCTGTAAACTTATGACCTGTCTTTTCCCACTAGAGTACCAGCTTTTAACAGTGTGGACCAAGTTCTACTTATCTACTCATCTCCAAAATCTAGCACATAGTTTGATCTAGAGTAAGCACTCAATAAACTGCTAAATTAATTCTGCCTTTAAAATCTGCATTGGCAAGATTAAGATAACCAGGCTATAAACCACTTCAGACCCCTATATTTGCCCACTGAGGCAGCTTCTGTAAATGGCAAAAACATAGTATTTTGACATTTATCTCCCTCTTAACTTTAAAAATGCTATTCTACAACCACAACAGAACATTTATATGCATGACTACATTTGTCTGTATGTTATATATTTTTATACATTGTCTATACTGTATATTGTTTATATGCTATTATATATTTGCTACATATTTTTTCCATACTATGTACACAGAGAATTCTACTCTTACATCATTTTGTATTTATATGTGTGCATATATTTGTTAAGGACATACTTTTTCTTAGCATATGAAAGAGTAGGAATAAACCTACTGAAGAAACAACCTGAATCAAAGTACTTCTATACTTTACTACTGGTTAAGATGTTTGGCATATGGAAGGCATACATATATTAGAATTAATAAATGGTGATTAGAAATGAATCTGCTATTTAAATATTATTCAAAACTTAAACAACAGTGAAGACATATTTTCCATAGTGCTCCAAGGCTACAGTCTCAAATTTAAAAAGAAAAACAAACAAAAAAATGCCATACTAATGAACATAATATTCTAATACAAACTTTCAGTAACCTCGAAAAACACAACTGAAGATAACAAGACTCAGATGATAATTTCATATAAAAGAATATTAGAACACTTGATGTCATCCCTACTTTCACTCTGCAATTCTGTAACCAAGAATAAGAAAGTTCTATTTTAAGTGTTAGGTTCTTTTGATAATATACTATCTTGAACCTCTTTTTGATCTTGAACTTTTAATGACAACTAACACAATGTCATAAAAGTAAATGAATTATGAATGTGCAGCTCACTGAACGTTCACAAAGTGAACACACCTGTGTCCTCAGCAGGGGGGCTCGGCTCTGAAAGCTGCAGCTCACAGGCCTTAACCAATACCTACCCTTCCAGGAAGAACAACTGCTTTAACCACTCTGGACACGCCAAGGTCATAAAGACAGAGAACACTCCCTTCCGCTTCTTCTAATCCAATTAACAATCCAACTCTCTTCTGCCAAGAGAATTCCTTCATCGCCAGGATCACAGGAGGCTGTTGATTGACTGCACTGAATCTATACGCAGACAACCGCTCTCCTGTTAGAGAGTGCACTACCTCCAGATGTTGACCACAAGCCAGGCAAGCAAGTCCTCTTCTCCCTAGAAGAAAGGAAAGAAAAATGGAAAAAAAAAAAGCAAAAATGTTGCTTACTTTAATACTGTATGTACACCACCTAACGAAATACAAGTTAGATCTTTTACATATATAATACGTAGCTCATTACATATATAACTTTATGTATTATCTCCAAAGGGAAATCTAAGCATTTATAGAACAGAGTGGTCCAAATTAGTGAAATATATTGAACAACTGTGACCTCAATAATAAAGTAACCATTCGGTAAAGTCACTATGCATGCTATGGGGTGCCTTTATATATGCTATAAAACAGATTATCTCATTTATTCCTTGTCACACCTCAACAAAGACAACACAGAGGTAAGTTTAGTTAACTTTCATACAGTTAAATAACTTGCTCACAGATGAACGGCTACAGGGGTACCTGGGTGGCTCAGTTTGTTAAGCGTCTGCCTTCAGCTCAGGTCATGATCTCAGGGTCCTGGGATCGAGCCCCACATCAGGCTCCCTGCTCCACAGGGAGTCTGCTTCTCCCTCTGCCTCTTCCACCCACCCTGCTCGTGCTCTAATAAATAAGTAAAATCTTAAAAAAAAATAAATGTATGCCTACAGATACCAGAACCAGAAGTGCATCACAAGTCTAACTCCAAAATTCACACTTACACTGTGTCATACCTCAACAATTAAACCAGGTGCTCCGGGGCTCATAAAATGGAACACATGATTCTATTCCCGAAGAGTTCAAACTCTGAGAAGACATAACTAGTATAACAATAGAAAATACCAGAAGCACTTCTTGACCCCTTACTAGTCATGTTTGGATTTTATTATGTACAAAATATAAAGTAACTGGAGGTTTTTAAGCAATCTGATTTATGTTGTTATATATTACTCTAGCTGCTAAGCAGAAAATGGACAATAAGGGGGAGCACAGGATCCACATGCGGAGAGAATACCCTCTGCCTGGTCAGTGGCTGTGAATAAACAGAACTGGATTGACTGGAGAGTCATCTTAGAGCAGGACTAAAAGGATTTGCTTATTGATGAATAAGATGTGGGGAGGTAAGTAAAACCAGAATCAAGAACATACTCGAATTTTCCCTTGAGCGGCTAGATGAATGGTGGTAACTTTTCAATTTGTGATGTCTACCATGCATCTAAGTACACAGTTGGCTATATCTCGTTGTAGCTAAGGGAGGCTACCTAGTTTAAGGAAATAGCACGGCACAAAGGAGACCCCAAACATGCCGGATTCAAAGATCACTTTCACCACTTGTTATCTGTGTAACTGGGATATTTGATTCTTAGCCACACAGAACAATGAGGGTCTACTACCTCAATGAAAAGTTGTTACAGTGCCTGCCTAAGCACTGTTACTACTTAAATGACTGGTAAGTTTTGCTGTCTACCTGCTAGGATGGATGACTGTGAATTCATTTTCAGAAATGTCCTGTAAGATCTTTCACTTGACTGAAATCCACAATTTAATGGCTACTCTGGTATGGTTTTCTGCTGCATTATATAATCAAACTATATATTAAAATCTTGTTCACATTAGTGGAATTAAGAAACAAGACTTTCTGAATATTTTGTATTACCCAGGGCCCTACAATCAGATTTTTCTACTCATAATGACTATTTAGGTTCTAATCCATACTCCTCACCAATAAAACTTACTGATTATAAAGAAATAACAGGGGCACCTGGGTGGCTCAGCTGGTTGAGCGTCCAACTCTTGATTTCGGCTCAGTAAAGATCTCACGGTCGTGTGATGGAGCCCTGCATCTGGCTCTGCACTGGGTGCGGAGCCTGCTTGAGACTCTCTCTCTCTCCCTCTCTCTCTGCTCCTCCCTCCCCCGCCCCTTGGCTGGTGCATGCCCACACACTCACTCCCTCTCTTAAAAAAAAAAACAGCTGTGTATTATTTCTACTTCCTAAATATAAATATCCAACACTAAAAGATACAAAGTATACAGTATTTTTAATAAGGAAAAATGAACAATAACCACCCCAAGATTCACTGAAAATGTGTTCGAGAGTATACAGATGTTATTATATAAGTAGTTGTAGATGTTTTATAGTTATATAAGACCACTATAACTATTCTTTTTTTCTCCCACATTAAAGGAAATTACAATACATGCTCATTACTAGCTTACAAATCAATCGAATCAGTAAGTTTTCAGCAACATTACTGTACCTGCAGCAATCTTTCCATGAAGCACAGATTCCACTGTGACTTCATCTTCCAGGGCCTGAAGACTCACTTCTGGCAAGGGCAGAAGACCACTAGTCACTTTTGCTGTTAAGCCTCGCATACTTTCACTGTAAGTATTTTTAAAAGATAACATTATTATGATATATTTGTACTATAATATACTTGATTATCTCTAGCCAGCACACAAAAGTAAATAAGCTAAAACTAAAATCTGATTATAAAACCCGTTTTATGTGCTTCTGGGTCTGAGGTATTCCCACCTAAAAATATATTTCCCAACAGCTTTAGGAGAGTGTAAATTTATTAAGCCAGATGTCCTAAGGATATACATGATTCCCTAGCTTGTTTGAAAACTGGTTCAATGCAATTAATCTTATTGCCTGACCCACTCTCAAAGAACTCTTCACACACAAACAGGGAGAACTGATGCATTTTAGAAAAATTACTGCTACAGTAAAAGGGAAGAAAGCCCATAAAAAATGTCCAAACACAGAGTAACCTCCGGAATCACATCTGGGATGCGTCTTTAAATGGATAGAGGGAAAAAAAAATTGAAATTTATCTTTCACTTCCAATATATAGCAGATTAAATTCCTGGAATGACTCTCCTATTGTAAACAACCAAAAATGATGGTTAAAAAACTTTTTTGAATGAACTGATAAAGCCAAACATGAAGAGACAGCAGGAATTTTGGAAACCTCTAAGCTGGCTTTGGCCTCAAGGGTTGGCTACCAAATCCAGTGCTGGTGACTCTTGATTTTGTCTTGAGACTCTTGAGATCCACAGAAGCAGAAGAAAAAGCTAAGGACTAACAGAGCCAAGGCAAGCTAAGACGGGCCTCCTCCCCACGCCATTCAACTCCATAAGGCTATACCATCAGCATAAAAATCAGTGAAACACCCATTGTGCAGGACAGGGAGCAATAATGCTGCCCGTTTTGGCCATGACTGGAAGTGTCTACTTAGAAAAAGAGTATTTCCCTTCATACAAATTGGTGGCCACAATTCAAGCTATGTTATCTGACAACACTCAGGGAAGAATGTTTTATAAATTATTCTCAGGTTGGTTATGCTCCACATAACCCACAGACACCACCAAATATTCTCTGGAATCGCAAAGAGTTCTCAAAGAAAATGACTCACAGTCAAAATAACAAACTGTAACAAGAATACTATGATCAACAGCCAGCAGAATCAATCTATCAAAGATTTCAGATATTGAAAATGATCAGAGACAGAAAATACGTTTAATATGGTAAATAAATCAAAGATTTAGCTTGCTAATGAGGAAGAAACCTTAAAAATTATAATGAAAAATGGTCAAGTAGATTTAAAAAAAAATAACAGAACTTCTGGAATGAAAAATAAGTAAAATTTAGAACTCAACGGGGAAAAGACCTCAATGGAGTAATGAGAATTGCAGCATATGCAACAGTATGGACAAATGTCAGAGTATAATACTAAATAATAAAAGGAGCAAAAAATACCTGCAGAATGGTTACATTTACATAAAGTTTAAAAGGCTGTGAAACTAAGAAAATATTTAAAAACACAAACATATGTAGCAAAACTATGAATAAAACAAGGAAACAATAAACACAAAACCCGTAATAGTAGTTACTTTGAGAAGAAGGAAACGGGCTGGAATGGAGAGGAATATAGAAGGACTCCAAGGTAATGGTAATGTTCTTTTTCTAAAACTTGATGTTGAGTAGACGGTATTCACTGCCCCATGATTCTTTATAACTTACAAATATTCTTTTGTCTCAACAAATAGTTCTCTTGTACCTACTTAGAGTCAACAAAAACAAACTCAAAAAATAGGTAATACTGCATACTAGAAAGAGAAAGAGAACCCCAAAACTCTTCCAGGATGCAGGACAGAGAGACAAAGAAATAAGTAATTGAAAGTTATAGGCAAGAGGGGTGCCTGGCTGGCTCAGTCATCATCTGACTCTTGATCTCAGGGTTGTGAGTTCACACCCCACATTGGGTGTAAGATTACTTAAAAATAACAACTTAAAATAAAAAGTTATAGGCAAGAGAGGGAAAAAACCTAACATGTTTATTCAGAATCCCTCAAAATATAACACTAAATAGTAAGAAAGAAGCAATATTCGAGGGATGCCTGGGTGGCTCAGTCCGTTAAGTGTCTGCCTTCGGCTCAGGTCATGATCCCAGGGTTCTGGGATCAAGTCCCACATCAAGTCCTTGCTCAGCAGGGAGCTTGCTTCTCCCTCTGTCTGCCGCTCCCCCTGCTTGTGTGCACTCTGACAAAGAAATAAAATCTATTAAAAAAAAAAAGAATCAATATTCTAAAAGGCATTTCCCAGATCCACAGTCATACCAATTCTCTGGAATCAGGAGGAACAGTGAATCCTAAGTAGAATAAATAAAAAGTAATGACTTCTCAACAAGAACAGTGGAAGCTAGAGGTTTGGAATATCTTCAAAATTCTAAGTAAAAATTGCTATCAACATATAATTATGTATCACTGGAATTATCCTTAAATATGAAACATGTTTTTAGAAAAAAACAAAAACAGAGTTTACCACAGATAAACTCTCCCTTAAAGGGAGTTCTAAAGGATTATAGATAGAATGCTTCAGGTAGAATAATGATCAGATAGAAGGTCTGAGATACAAAAAGAGCTCCAGATATCTGCAGTGGGGTCCCCTGAACCTTCATATGATCCGTGTAAGCATGAAAGGAAACTACCAGAAGCCAAGGAATGAATCACTGGAAAAACAGAGGAGAAACAATCCCCAAAGCTTACACAAGCCCAGGAATAGCTCCAGAATGGAAAAACCTCATAACACATGAGGCACTGAGTAGAGTACTCAGAAAGGTGTTGACTGCTTCAGTGGTGGGGAAAAAAAAATCAGCCCTTTTCTTCTTTCTTACAGATTTTACTTATTTATTTGACAGAGAAAGAGAAAGCGAGAGAGATAGCACAAGCCAGAGGGAGAGGCAGAGGGAGAAGCAGACTCCCCACTGAGCAGGGAGCCCAATGCAGGGCTCGATCCCAGGACCCTAGGATCATGACCTGAGCTGAAGGCAGATGCTTAACTGACTGAGCCACCTAGGTGCCTCAAAATTAGCCCTTTTCTAAAGGTCATTCTGGTCTTGTCTGAAAAAGCAAGCCTCAAAAGAATCAAGCTGTTTTCAAATAACTTAGCTGCACCCCAGAACAAAGCTTAAGAATATGTAAAGGAATGCAAAAATATTCAGTATTAAAGAAAGTGACATTCATAGTATCTGACATCCAATCAAAAGTTGCCAGGCATGCACAAGTGAAAAATATGACCCAAAATAAGGGGGAGAAAAAAACAACCATTAAAAACAAACCTAGAAATGACATAGAAGTTTGAATTACTAGATGAGGACATTAAATCAGTTATTCTAGCTATAATCCCTATGTCCAAGAACATAGAGGAAAGCATAGGCATGTTAACAAAAGACACAGAAGACACAAAAAAGACCAAATCAAACTTCTAGAGATGAGAAATACTGAATGGGATTCACAGACACCAGAAGTATTACTGAACCTAAATACCCACGGTAGAAACTATCTAAAACGAAGCACAAAGAAAAAAAAAGGCTGAGGCAGAAAGGAAAAGACCAGAGCATCAGTGAGCTATGGGACAATATCAAGTGCCCTAATATAGGGCAGCAATCTCAAAAAAAAAAAAAAAAAAGGACAGAAATATTTAAAAACTAATGGCCAAAATTTTCCAAATTTGATGGAACTATAAACCCACAAATCAAAAAGGCCAATAAATCTCAAGCACAAGAAACATGAAGAAACACCACCAAAATACATCATACTTGTGCTCGCTTCAGCAGCACACATGCTAAAATTGGAACAAAATACAGCATATGCAAGGGACAAAGAGAAAATCTTAAAAGTATAATACTGCAAAGAGGAACAAGAATGACAAGAGACTTCTCGTGGAAAACAATGCAAGCCAGAAGACAGTGGAATATATTTTAAGTTATGAAAGAAAAAAAAGGTGTCAACCTAGAATTCCATACCCTGTGAAAATCACTTAAAAATGAAGGCCAAATAACTTTCAGACATACAAGAGCTGAAAAAGATGGTCACCAGCAGGTATGCAGTACAAGGAACGTTAAAGAAGTTCCTTCAGGAAGAAGAGTATTTTGAACTGAATGAAAATGAAAATATGACATACCAAAATTTGTGTGATACAGCTTAAAGCAGTGCTTAGAGGGAAATTCATAGCACTAAACATCCATAAGATCTCCTGTCAGTAACCTAAGCTTCCACCTTAAGAAACTAGAAAAGGAACAAACCCACCATCAACAGAAAAAATAAAAGAACTGAATTTAGGGCGCCTGGGTGGCTCAGTTGGTTAAGCGACTGCCTTCGGCTCAGGTCATGATCCTGGAGTCCCGGGATCGAGTCCTGCATCGGGCTCCCTGCTCGGCGGGGAGTCTGCTTCTCCCTCTGGCCCTCCCCCCTCTCATGTGCTCTCTGTCTCTCTCATTCTCTCTGTCTCAAATAAATAAATAAAATCTTAAAAAAAAAATAAAACAACTGAATTTAATGAAACAAAACAAAAATCATAGTTAAAAATAATAAAACAAAAAGCTGGTTCTTTAGGAAGACTTAAAAAAAATCAACATAGTATTTAGAAATAGATCAATGACAGCAAGAGACCAGAGAATTAACTATTCCACTTATGACAAAAATTACATTTCAAATCGCTATGAAAATGATACCAGATGGAAAATTACGAACTTTTAATAATGTTCTGGGATAATGTAGCCACCCCTGCTGGGAAGAAAAAAAACTCTTCCTCAGTATGATACAGAAATGGGAAATTATAGGGCACCTGGGTGGCTCACTTGGTTAAGCCACTGCCTTCGGCTCAGGTCATGATCCTGGAGTCCCTGGATCGAGTCCCGCATTGGGCTCCCTGCTCGGCAGGGAGTCTGCTTCTCCCTCTGACCCTCCCCCCTCTCATGTGCGCTCTCTCTCTCTCTCGCAAATAAATAAATAATCTAAAAAAAAAAAAAAAAAGGAATGGGAAATTACAGATGGATTAAAAATCTGAAAGCATCCCCTACCCCAAAATGAGTGGTG